GTTTTACAGCTGGGCAGCCATAAGCACAGGAAAGCATAGCAGTGTGCCTCAGTGGCCAGGCAAAACTGACCCCCACAGGATGAAAGTCCTCCTTGGATCTGTGGTCTCTGCTTCCCACCTTCCCAAAGTTCCACAGGGCGCCCACCCCTTGGCTAGCATTGCTTACCTAGACCCTGGCAAATGCTCAGGGGAGAGTGTCCTTATCTGTTCTTTGACCAATAAAATCATCCTCAAGTCTGATTGAAATGTAAAGGTCAATTTATGCTTACAAATGATCCCAGAGGATGTGTGGATTTTTTTTTCTTTAAGGAAAACTGGGTTCTGTGTTACATACCCTGACTCACCACTGAGGATCCTGGGCCTGGCCCATAGAAGGCTCTCAATAGAGATGCATGGAATGAGGCACCTGAGACAGCATCATTACATATAGTTATCCTGGTAATAGTAGAAAGAGCTGCCAGTTCTTGACTTATTTTATGCCTGGCTCTGTTCTAAGTACCTCACATGAACAGAGTCACTTAAACCTCACAGCAGCACATCAAGGTCAGTGCTGTCATGATCCCCACTTTACAGTTGAGGAAACTGAGGTCAGTGGCTGGTTGTTGCAGCCTGTGCTCTTCACCAGCACACAGGGGAACAGACTGCAGAACAAGGGCCCCCTTTGCCTTTCTTTCAAGCTGTCTTATTTCCCAAGTGCACCCACCCACACAGCTCCTTGCTATAAAAGCACTGCTCCTCACAAAGGTGCTGCAGTATTTACTTACCTTTACTTACTAAACTAATTTACTTTGGGACCCTTTGTTTTTACTTCGTTAGCACTGCTCAACTTTGCAGGGACCTTAACTCAAAAGTAGTTACTGGAAGGTTCACCTTCTATGTGGCAGGATTGCCATTTGCATCTCTCAGATTTCCACCCATCCACTCTCCCCCAGGCCAGCCTGGGGGTGCCTCCTCTTTTGATGGCACTTTGGGGTAAGCTCTGATTTATTCAGCAGATAACCTTTTTCTGTGAGGCAGTCTTCAAATGCAGTCTCTGAGGCAGTCCCCAGGTACTAAAGAAGTTTGGCCGAGTTGATGCGATTCTCAGAGGGCTGAGGCCACTCAGGTAGGTCTCAGTCCTAGGAGACAGCAGGCAGGACCATAGAGAAAGGTGCCACCGCCAAAGTGACACTTGGTTCAGTACTTCCTGGTTATGTAGCCTTGAACAAGTCTCTTAGCTATTTGCCTTTCTTTAAAAATAAAAAAAGAAAGAAAGAAAAAAGATGAACTTTGAGGGCATTATGCTAAAAAGTCATAAAAAGACAAACACTCTGATCCCACTTACTGAGGTTCCTGGAGTCGTCACATTCATAGACAGAGAGCAGGATGCCAGGGGCCAGGGGCTGGGGCAGCAGGGTGAGGAGTTGCTGTTTAATGGGTACAGGAGGTCAGTTTGGGCAGATAAAAAGGTGGTGGGGATGGGTGCCAAATAGTGCAGATGTGCTTAACATACTGAACTATATGCTTCAAAATGGTTAAGGTGGTAAATTTAATTTGTATATATTTTACCATCATTAAAATTTTAAGAAAATTTTAAGCGAGAGAAAGGGAGGGAGGGAATGACTTGTACTTCCTCTGTAAGATTGTTTTGAGGATTAAAGGTAAGATGCCTGGGTAAGAAGTAGGTACTTACATAAATGTTCATTCTATTGTTGCTAAAGAAGCACAAATTTGGTGGGAGAATTATAAAGCCCTGTCCTAGGGAAATGCCAGCATGGTGGGGAGAGGTATAGGAGAGTTCTAACCAACAACTCTGCCTGATGTCGCTGCCAAAAGCAAGTATTGCAGCTTCAGGCTACATTAATAGGAAAAAATTTCTAGAATGAAGGAGGTGGTGATTCTACACCACCTGCAACTATTAGTCCATCCCCAGGGATCAGAATTTATCCTGGAAACCACACTGTAAGGAAAGCAGGTACCTGGAGTTCATTCAGAGTCCCCTTCGTGGCCAGGACACAAAAGATAGCAGGAGGTTTGGAGGTATTTCTGATCTTTGGGGAGCAAGGAAAGAAGACAGGGACTCAACACCAAGCACTAGAGGAATCATTTCAGGAATGTGGGATGTTAAAAGATTACACAGGTGGGGCATGGTGAATTCTGTCCTTGTAGCTCCTCAGGGCTGGCTAGGAGAAGGGGTCTGGCTGTTTCATGGCTGAATTCGGAGGCTGGTAGAAGGGAAGCTCGCTCTCAGTTCTGGTTCTCCAGAGGTGCCTAGAACTGCCACCAAAGGGACTGATCTCCCTGTCACCAGAGCTGTGCAGTCTGATGCTGGCCATCCCTCACCGAGAGTATGAGATGGGGCATTAGACACAGAGTAAATGGAAAGAGGAATTGAATAGGTGGCTCACTGGGTTGTGTTCCAGGCAGGCAAGAAGGGATATTACGAGCTCTGGGTGTTTTAGGCCATTCTATGAGCTAGAACCAGGAGGTTCAGAGAGGAAGGTTCAGAGAGGGATCCAGCCACATGTGTGGAGGACCTCATCCTGAGAGCAGTGCAGAATCACGGGTGGAAGTAAAATATCAGATGAATTCTAGAAGGATCACTCCTAGTTCTAGGAGTAGAAAGACTGGAATCCAGGGGAACAGTAAGCAGCTGTTGTGATAGATCGGGGCAAAGAAGACACAGGCCTTAAATGAGGTGATCCCAGTGGAGAAGAGGTGGAGGTGGGCTGAGCAGGGGGAGGACTACAGAGGACTGCACGCCAGCGTGTGCACAGCCAGACATCTGGTTCAGCCGCCTTTCCCATCCCCATCAGGAGAAATCCCCAGGAGGAGCAATTTACTAGTTCACTGGCATATAACATTATTTTTGCACAAGGTTCTTATCACAGTGTTCTACTGAGACCTGAAGCTCTATTTTATTGCTGAAGTGCTTGTGTTTCTGTTGTGGAGAAGTGGAAGAGCAGTCCGCCACCAACTCACTTAGGTCCAGGTCTCGTTTACACCTGTTTGTTAAACTTCAAGGCGCCTGCATTAATACTGTCTTAATTGGTGACAGTAAAGGTTCAGAACTTTTGAGGCTTCATAGGAAATAAGAAACCACAACTGTGCACTCCCGACCACATGAAACCCTGTGGGCCTCGTGACTCGGTCAGCATCTCTGGCTGTGCCTCTGCTCACCCCTCCTTCCAGAGCAGCTCTGATTTGAGTGGCCAGGGCACAGAGCCACAGCAGGGCTGCAGGACGTTCTTTCAGCGAGTGCTCCTCCTGCCGCCCTGCCTGATTCTCAGGGAGGAGACTACCCTAACAGAAGACCCTCAGGTTGAGGTTAAGTTGGAAACCACAGTTTAACTTCACTGAGGAGAAGGAGTCAAGTTTGAGAGAAATGCAGAGAGCAGAAAGAACTCGAAGCAGGCATGGCATTTTCTTTGACCAAGGTTTCTGTGTTCCAATGGGAAAGAATGTTTGAGATTGGATCCCAGGTCTCCCACCTCCCACCCATGTGGCCTTGAGCAAGTCCTCAGTCTCCCAGCACCTGTTTCCCCATCTTTAGGCTGAGGTAATAATTCACACCTCTGAGAGAGCCCTCATTCATACAGCAAATATTTTTGAGCACGTGCTGTGAGCAGGCCCTGCTGGAGGAGCTGGTTTCATCTGGGTTCCTTGCCAGCAGGTGAGCCATGCCTGTGTCCTTGGTCACTCCTTAGGTCTCCTGGGGGACCTCAGTTTCTCCATGTAATAAATTGGGCTCCCAGCCCAAGTCAGGTGTGCCAGCGAGGCCTGGAGAGAGCCCCTGGGGCCACCCCTTGTAGCAGGAGGAGATAGGGAAATTTGCTCTTCTGGCTTTCCTGAAATTGTGACTCAGGCTGTAACAAGCAGGGTTTTACATGGGTGGCCTTGTGTAGTTCTAACATTCAGCCTGGCTGACCAGAGAAGGAAATCCAAACCGATGCGCTCCGAGTCCTGAAAACAGGCAGCAGGTCTAAATGGGGACTTTGGCCAGTGCAGGGCCAGTTTGGCACCCGTGGCAGTAAATTTCTTAGTAGAGCTTTCTGGTCTCTCTCCTATAGAATCACTGAAAGTGAGGTCACCACGAGGCTCTAGCTCCTCTTTTCCATCCCCTGTGCTTCCAGCATTTACTTTCACTTCTCAAAAAAGTAAAGAAAGTAAACAACAGCCAGCAAGAGAAATCTCCGGGGAGAGAGCAGCTCCAGCTTAGCAAGGCGCTATTCTCATCTTTGGGTGGCCACTAAATCACACCCAGGGCTGTTGCCAGCTGCCTGTGGGAGCCCTGGCTTTGGTCCCCAGGCTTTGCCTCTGGAGGGACCCCACCAGTGGAAACAGGATGGAGTGTCTGTCTCATGGCAGCCACATCGCTGTGTCTGAGATTCCAGATCAGAAAACAGCACCCAAGTTTTCCACCTCCTGCTATTGATTCCAGTTCTAGAAACAACCGGACTTTACCTGGTTGGCCTGTGGACATCAGGAAGATGGGAGACCCTGGAAACAAGTGACAGCCATGGTGCTGACCCAGCACAGTAGCCCTTCCTGCCTCAGCTGCCAAAGATGGGACTAAATGTACAACTACAGAGTCTCCCTTTCTGCCACTCTCAGTCCTTTTTTTTTTTTTTTTTTAAGTGTTTAGCTTTGTCCATGTTTAGCTGCACAAACCCCCTCAACTCATTTTGGGTTTTTTATATACTCGGGGTATAATGCCTAAATAAATAATATAAATCCTAAACAATCAAAAAGTTGTACTGGAGTAACCAAGTCAAGCCAAATATGATAAAAGACTGACCATCACGGATAGTTCACAGAGCTGCTCTATACATAAATTCGGAGACTGAATAAAGTACAGAAGCTCTGGAGAAATTATGTAAACCGAGGGCAAAATCATTAACAACTAGATCCCTATTCTGTGAGCCACTGGCCTGATGAGACAGCACTCTGCTCCAAACAGTTAAATGCCTGCATGAGATCCTGATTGGGACCCCCTGTCCAGGCCTGCAGAGCCCTGGTGGTTCCAGAGCACCTCGAAGCCAACGTTTCTAGGTGGGGTGGGTGGTGCTGCTGCTCCTTGACTGCTACTAGAACACCTCCTCCACCAGGCTAAGAAATTTTTTTCCAAGTCAACGAGACTATAGCTGTATCAAAATGCCCCTTATTCCTGACAGAGTCATAGAGACATTATGCCCAAGGGTTTAGCTAACTAGAAAGCAAATAGTAAACTTTTCAGTAATACGACAGTAATCAGAAAAAACTTGAAGTGGCACATTTGGATATAACCTGGGAAAATATTTTTCACTGAAGAGGAGACTTTCCTGCAGTTAGCATGAACCAGAAATCACCCCTGCCATCTTCACCACACCAGTCACATTGCCGCCTTTCCTGACAGGTGCTTCTAGATTCCGTTTGGAGCAGAGAGGGTGGGAGGCGACTGCCTGAGCAGACAGGCCTGGCCAGGCGCCGTGTGAATGAGATTGAGTGCAATTCCAAGAGCTCCCGGAGAAGCAGGGCAGGAGGCCACCAGCACCACCCTGGGCAGAAGTAACTGCTCTTAGAAATATCCTAACTTGTCTGTATGCAGAGCAGGTAGATTTGCGCTGCCGTCACATGATTGCTTAAAGCTGCCAGCCCCATTCTTGTACAACTAGATTGATCAGCTAGTACTGAGGCAGGCTAACCTCGTGTTTCTCTTTTTCAGCCTTCCTTAGCAATTAGTAGACACATAACATCACACCACAAAATGAGAAAACACATGAAATAGCCCTGCTCAGTCAGGCTTTTCTCGTTAATCTTTTCTATTAGCAGAATGTAAGTCTGGTAGACAGAATAAGCACAATACTTCCCAGCCTGGTGCCCAGCGTCAGTTAGCTGCCATTTCTCACCCGTCTCAATTGCAGTTTGTAAAATCAGGATAAGCCCATTAATAAAACACTTCTGAATGAGTTCTGTGTACAGTGCACTTCTGCAGATACTAATCCTTGTGACGTCTCTGAGACAGTGTTCCCATTTTGGAGGTGGGAAGGTGGAAGTTTAATGAGCTTAGTTAAGTAACTGGCCCTGGTCCTTCTGTCCCTAAGTGCCCAACCCCTGCCCACTACACCACAGTGCCCTCTCGAGTGGTGGGTACTAGGGTGACCTATTCTAGCCCTTCAGTGTGAAATCCTGGTTGGCTATCCAGTGGAATTGGTTTCCTTGGCCAGGAATTACATGCAAATGATAGAAGCTGTTACTCATTTCTCTTTGGACCTCCTTCCTATAGTCGGCTCCGTTCCTCCCCACCCCCCAATGGGTGTGTGCCACCCTCCCGCCTCTGGCCCCAAATCGGCATGCTGGCTGGAATGCCAGCATCAGCATTAGAAAACTTTGTCGGGCGAAGGGTTAAATATGTTGAAATATGCCTGGCCCTCACAAAAGAAGTGGCGTTTACACCCTGTACATTTATGGAAATACTTGCCAAAGGAAAACAACCACAACATTGTGCATGTTTTTAGGAAGAGAATGGCCAGAGTGTCTTTAATTCACTGTTTACCCATGAGAATTACTCCCAGGAGTAATCCTGCAATAAAATCTTCTTGGTCTATGAGAATAGAAAGAAATTGAATCAAAAGACTCTATTTCCACTTGTATTTATTCAGTCTGGGAAATTCAGTGGGCCGGAGCATTACTATCAGCAGGGGATTCCTTGCTCCTAGCGTTAAATTACTGTCATAATCGCTCAATTATTTCTTCCTTGTACTGTTTAAAATAAAAATCCATCACATTCTATGTTTTTTTCTAGCATTTATTAGGTTGAGTGTTTAGGAAAATCAATTACAGTCAGTCAGGCATGAATTGATGAATGTTCTTGTAATAATTGTCAGTTGTTAAACTGAATGTACTTTCTCTTCTCACCCTTTTCATTTCCTTCAGAGGGCAGAGGTGGCTCAGAGAGAGGCAGAGACCTTAAGAGAGCAGCTCTCGTCAGCCAACCACTCTCTCCAACTGGCCTCGCAGATCCAGAAGGCACCGGATGTGGTGGGTAACTGGGCCCTGTGGGGACTCTTGTCTGCCTGGCATCTGTACCTGTGTTGCAGCTGCTTTCTTCCTTAGCTTTTTAATGTCCCTTTTTGGACTGTTTTAAGCAGTACTTCTGTCTTGGTAGGGAATGCTTTTAACAGTTTGGGGATGGAACTTGTTATAGAGTCAAAGGAAGTTTTGCTGATTCTGCGTCAGTGCTCTGTGGTCAGCATGCCACCCGCCCACCGTGGAGGTGGAGACAGATCGCATCACCAAAGGGAGCGTCTTCCCTGCTAGGCCTATGGGGTGGCGGCTGGCAGATGGGTGGAGATCTGAAACTGGAGCTTTGCCAAAATTACACAGGAAAATTGGAGGTTTGGTCTCTTCCTGAATGTGTCCTTCCAGAGTGAGAAAAATTTTGTGATGAGCTGGGAAAGCCAAAGAGGTAACAAGGTAACGCCCCGCTCTGAGTCTGTAATTGCCAGAATCATGCCTGAAGTGTAGGCATTCAGGAGGAGGAAGACACGTATCCCAGTGCTTTTGCCTCTTGGTTTTTCTAACATTAATAAAAATTGCTCTTAGCTGTAACTTTCCCAGCTTGGTCAAGGTGGCTTAGAACTATCAGATTCCAAACTCTTTTCTTCAGTGCTGTACAGTTACATGGAGCAGCATGTAGTTAAGACCTCAATAAGGAAGCCACACCCCTGGGCTCAGACCCCAGCTCTGTGACTTTGGGCAAGTCATTTAACGTCCCTGAGTTTCAGTTTCATCATCCATAAAATGGGTTTTTACAAGGGTTTCAGAAATCTGAGCAAAGCTCTTAGAGCAAGACCTGACACATAGTAAGTCCTCAGGAAACCTTAGCAATTACTCTTACATGGTTGGCATTATTATCTCTGATTCAGGAGCCCTGGTTTTAAAGCTCAATTCCATCGCTTTTTTTACACATCCAGGGAGTTAAGCTTCTTAGGCCTCAGTTTTTCAGTGCGTAGAGTGAGGAGTAAGTGATCCTGAGGTCCCTTCAGCTCTGATAGCCTTTGTTGGGCGAGGTGCACTCAAAGAGTCCTTTTACTTAACAAAGAGTTATAGAGCCCTTGCTGTGTGCCAGGACCGTGGTGGCCACAGAGCAAGGGGGGACAAGCCAGGCCCTTCCCAGAGAGAGTACAGTCGAATCAGGGAGACTTGCTGTTGTAGTAAGTTCATGTGTCAGTTTGGCACTTGTCAGTTTGACAACCATTATTCCACCTAACCCATAAAGTGGGATGTTGTTATTTCTTTGTATAGATTAAAAAAAAATAGAAGCTCTGTAAATGTGGACCCTTTGCTCCAGAGCACTTCGCCCCAGTGGCCAAGCCAGGACTCTGCCACCTTAGACTGGGACTTTTTAATTACTCCTTAGGAATGAATCTAAAGCAAAGTTTTAGTGTCAGGACTCCTTTTAAGAATGGATTTTTTTCTTTCTTTCTTTACATTAACATTAAATAAAACATGATTTAAGTATCTCAGGATATAGAGAAAGGTTCTCCAATTTAGAAACCATTACATCCTTCATACTTCATGGACTATGGTTTTAATTTTACCTGAAATGGCCCCTTGGTTCTGTCATCATCCCCTCCTTGAAGTTTACCTGGACTGGACCCAGGGTCACAGTGAGGAAGCCCTTGAGGACGGAGTCTGCGTGGCTTCTCCTGGCCTTTGTGGTGGATCCCAGTCCTCTAAAGAAAGTCAACCATCCCAGTGTGTCCACACAGGGCTCCTGAGCTCAATGCTTTGATTGAAAGGATTTCTGGCACCATCCTGGACTGTAGCAACCAAAACATTTCCGAAAGGAATGAATGTTTTTGCAGGTAGAGTAAGTTGTGGATCCTAGGGGTGCTTAAACACTTCATCATCAGCTAAGTGCAGTGTTTACATGGCACAGGTTCAGTCTTCCAGGAGCAGCCCTGCCAGGGCTCCTTCGGGTGTGCATTCCCACAGTCAGCTCAGCCAGCCAGGGAGTAAGCACCGGAAACTGGGCCAGCAGGAAAATGTCTGTTGGGCTTGGCTGGCAGGACTCAGCAGAGAAACAGTGGACGCTATAGATCTAGCAAAGTCCTACACTGATCTGTTGGGTGTCTTACCGGAAACACTAGTTTGAGAAGGTGAGCTGCCACTTGGAGTGCCTGCTCTGCGTGAGGGACTGTGCTGGGCTCTGTGTGGTTGTTTCCTTTCTGCCTCATGACACCAGGGTCATTAGAGGCAGGTTTTAGTATCCTCATTTTACAGGGAAGGAACCAAGAGGCTCAGAGGAGTTAAGTAATTCGCAGAAGGTCACACAGCTAGAAAATGATCAAGCGGGCATTTAATCCTGTTTGTCCTACTCCAAAGTCCTCTCTCTTCCCCACACCCAGCCACCCCACCTTTATGTGCGTTAAATGGAACAGGATACATGCAGGTCCTTTGTCAAGTAGTTACAAATATTCCTAGTTCGGGCCCCTGGTGTACCACACCAGGCCACCTTCTTGAACTTAAGCAAACTGTGATATTAGAAAATACACCTGTCTGTATCAGGTGAATCTATCAGGTGCACACACTCCATAGATAGGCCTATTTCAGCCGTTTGGCATTGGCGGGAATAGAGGTGGCAGTGAGAGAGAGAAGTAGAGCTGAGGTTCCCAGTCCTTCATCTTTCCCCCGCTGGAGTAAATAAGACTAAGATTAGCCTTGACTTCAAGTATCTGTCTCACAGGCTAGGGTCCTAGACGCACCATTTCACAGTTAGGTTTTCCTTCCGTTGAGTAGTGCTCCTGCATCTCATTCATATTTAATATGAAAATGGCTGCAGGATAAAAGAGATGATTATCTAGCTTTTTTCAGCCTCGATGTTCTAATCTCAGTAGGAGGACTCCTAGACACTTATACAACGTGTGATATTTCACAGAAGCAGGTTGGGAGAGAGGGGAGGCAAGTGGGTTCAAAGGGACAAAATTTAATGGATTACTACCTAGTAACTTCTGTTTTTCTGTTTTTCCCTTTGGAAACACACCGCCACTTTCATGATCTTAAGCCCTTCCCTTTTTTTTAAACAATGTTTTTAGACTCTACAAAGCATTCCCATGTATCCTTTCCTGGCTTCTGAGCCATCAGAGCCCCGAGCCCCTGTGAGGAGTTAGGATGCCCTTATAGGCCTTGGAAGCCTGGAGTTGTTGGACTGTCCCTTCTGGGACAGACTCTTAGGACCTTGTTCTGGTGCCCACAGGGGCCTCTTGTCACACTTGGAAAAAAAGCCAGTCTCTTCCTTTAGAGGCTACAGTCCGAGCCAGGGTCCTGACCCTAAACCCCATCACAATCACCAGGGAGTCAGGGCCCTACTCCAGATCCCCTGAACCATGGTTTCCAGGGTGGGGCCCAGGACCCATATATTTTCTAAAGCCCCCAAGTGATTCAGGTACAGCTGAGTGGAGGCCTGGATGGAAACCAGGAACCCATGATCCCGGCCCTCTTTGAACCCATGAATGCTTCATCTCTCAGTAATTATCTCAGCAGCATCCGAGCTTCCTGATGCTGACCTCCCTACAGCTGTAAAGGCCACCCCTACTCGCCTGTTTGCCCTGTTATACAACTTCCTTTCTAGCTATGCCCTAGGACTGAGAGGCCCCAACTTTATCACCCAGACACAGGCCTCTCCCTCTACCTGCAGCCTGTTGATCATTTCCTGGGACCTTGTTCATTTCTTTCTTAGTTTCCCATGTGTCTTCACAGTGAGGCAACAAGGATGTCCTCATGTATGAGGGGAAGTGAGCCATATTTGGGCTTAGAATTGGGTGAACTTTTCTATCTTATTTCCAAGGCCTAACTGCTTTGGGGTATATTACCTCACTTCAGTTTATGCAAGACAAAAATTATTTTTGCTATGTTATAAATAAAGAATCTGTGGCCCAGGTTTCTGAGTTAGTTGATGTGCCCAAGGTCATATGGTCAGCTTGGGGCCCAGCCACACTGGGCCTCAGAAGTTGAGCAGACAGCCCTTTGGGACTGCCTACCCCAGGTTCCCATCATGGGCCCAGGTTCAGCACTAAGAGCTGATGTTTTTTATATATACAGAGTGGGACAAAAGTAGGTTTACAGTTGTTCATATGGAAAATAATACAATAATCAGTAAGTAATAATATAAGAATAAGCTCTGTGTTTCACATACAACTCTAAGCCTACTCTTTCCCACCTTGTATTATTTGAACCTCATGCCCCTGATACAGTAACTTGCTTGCCTATTTAAAACCCCAGGTCACCTTTTGGCTTGTTTTACAGACTCTTCCCCTAAGAGCACTTGAAACAGTTTTTATGGCTGTCATCCCTCAGGTTGGAATATTGATAAATAAGTTAAATTAGGTAACATGGCTCATTTTACACCCACCATAAGACTGTCCTGAATATCACTGCCATCGTGTCCCCTCACTGCTCCCCCAGGTCTGTCGCCACAAGCCCAGGCACCTCTGGCCACCATCAGTCACCAACATGGCCTCTCCTTTTATGAGCTGGCCTCTCATCATCGGTCCCTCCTTGTACATTGCTTCCTACCTTTCCAACCTTCGTGCTTACCCTGTGGTGTCTCACGCTGAAATGGAGCCCCTCTTCCTTCTGCTGAGATCCAGTAGCCCTTTCCCACTGTGCCCCCTCTCCCTCCTCAGGATTTGCCTCCAAGTACTTCTCTCACTGTTCTCCTCGGTGCTAACCCCCCGGCACTGCTAGGAGACTCGTCTTACGCCCCCTGACCTTGACCGCCACCCCCAGTGTTATTTAGGGTGGTGCTTCCCAAACTCTGGTATAGGAGAGTTTTGTTTTTATTTTTAAATTTCCAATCTGTCAACAGCCTGGTGGTTTTATAAAAGACAATAAAAATGTCACAGCAATGTCCAATTGCTATAAACGTTTCTAAACACTTACTCAATTTCTATGCTTGCCTCACTGTACCAGCAGCGGTTGTGGACTGGCACCAGTCTGTGGAACCCACTCTGAACTGAACTGGTCTGGACAGCATATGCCTTTTAAATAAGCTGGAGGGAAGGTGCTCGTGGGGGCCCGGGGCCGTGTCCAGAACTTCCAGAAGTCGGGAGACATGAAAATCTTACTTTACGATACTATACAAATCAAAGGACCAGAAAGGAGTCATTTCTTTGCACATAAACCTTTATTTTCTTAAATGGTAAATGCCTTAGCTTCCCAGAAGGGAGATGTGAAAAAGTATTTCCCTGGGTGACTGGCTGTCCCCAAATGTGAAAACCCTGTGCGTGAGAAGCACATAGTGCATCGAATGGCATGGCTGCCCCTGCCAGCTGAGCTGCAGCTGCTGTTTTCCACCCCAGTATAGGCCAGATCAAGACGTGAAGTGAGCCCTGGCTGAGTAGCTCAGTTGGGTAGAACATCATCCTGATATGCCAAGGTTGTGAGTTCAGTCCCTAGTCAGGGCACATACAAGAAGCAACAAATAAGCCTAACAGCAAATAAACCTACCTTCCTTCCTT